CCCGCCCCCGCCCCCGCCCGGGAGGCGAGTGAGCCCGAGTGAACCCGTGTGGCGTGTGTTGCTGCAGGCGACCCGAGCGCCCAGTGCCTGCGGCACGGCTTCATGCTGCACACCAAGTACCAGGTGGTCTACCCCTTCCCCACTTTCCAGCCCGCCTTTCAGCTCAAGAAGGACCAGGTGGTGCTGCTCAACACCAGCTACTCCCTGGTGGCCTGCGCCGTCTCCGTGCACTCGGCAGGTAGGCCCGGGGCATCGGGCTCAGCCTGGGGAACCTGGTCCCATTCCTTCCCTGGCCTTACGGAAGTCTGCGGAGACCCAGGGAGGTGAAGCGTCCCATCCAGGGTCACGCTGTTAGGAAGTGAGGATGCTAGAGGTTGAACCCTGTCCACGAGAACTTTCCACAGGCCCTGGGTCAGTCTATGGCTGGGTGGCCACTCCAGCCACCTGCCGTAGCTGCTTGGGGTGTGGCTCATGTGACCAAGGAATTGAGTTTATGATTTTCTTTCATTTCAGTTATTTATTTTTTAAGGTTTTTGCTATAGGGCGTGAGCGCTCGCTCTCCAGAAAGACAGAGAGACAAAGCGAGAAATCACCCCCCAGGGGGGATGGCCACGCCGCAGTCCCTTCTCCTCCATTCTCCTCTCGGGATCTTGGGCACGCACGCACACACGCCCGGCCTGAGTTTAAATCACCAGGTCTGGGACTTGAACCGCAGTGACACAGCCGTTATGCCAACTACTGGAACCTCCCGTTGTTATTCTAAGGAGCCACATGTGTTCAGTGCTGCCCATGCTAGGATGGCGTGAGTCTGCCATCTCTGTTTTTAAAGATTTTTCTCCTGCGGGGTGCATGCACTTGCTGGAGAGAGAGAAGCAGACAGACAGAGAGGGGAAGTGAGAAGTCACCCCCTGGGCGATGGCCACACCGCAGTCCCTTCTCCATTCTTCTCCTGGGATCTTGGGTACACACGCTATACGCGTGCACGCATGTCCAGTGAGATCTTCAAGCCACCGGCTCTGGGACGTGAACCGTGGTTGACCATATGAGAAGTCAGTGTTACAACCACTGTGCCATCTGCTGGGCCCCCCCTCTTTTATTTTAAAGTTTTAAATTTTTAAATTTTTTTGCCAGAGAGCATGCATGCTTGACGGAGAGGGAGAAAGGGCCCCCCGCGGGCGTGGTTGTGCCGTCGTGCCTTCTCC